GGTGCAGTGACTCCCAAGCTAGGCGAGTGGCTCCAGCAGATCCCAGGAACAACATCGGAGATCTCTGTCCAGAGGAGCGCAGTCCTGGGAACAGCTAAGATCAAGCTGCCAGGCCTCTGGTAGAGGACCCGAGCTTGAAGGATAAACCGCCCGCAGGGGCGAGAGGGGAATTATTATTATTTTTATATATATATGTGTGGGGGATCGTGTCATAGGCAGTCAGTCCAGGCAGTGCACAGATTAGTCAGCTTAGACTTGCTGTCATGGGCAACTGCTCTGTCTACCAGTAGCTGGTGTTTGGCCCTCTGGCATTTTTGCCACTTCCTTTCTGTGCCCCGCTCATGTACTAAGCCATGTGCCTGTTTATTTTAGGCGCTATGATGCCTGACAGGAGCTTCCATGTGGTACTGAGGCAGGTTATTGGTTGGTAGTTGGATGGGACCGGTCCCTTCTGGGGGTCCTTGGGAATCAGGACTGTCCAGCCTTTGGTTAGTCATTCTGGGTGTCTCTCATGGACTAGTTCATTTGTACTACCAGACGCTCGTGGAGTGCAGTTAGCTTCTTCAGCCAGTAGGCATATAACTATAAAAACATAGTCACCCCTTTAACAATTTCGCATATAAGCAATATTTATTTAATAGATAAAACTATTAAGTTTTAGTTTAATACTGTAAATGCAGATCTAAACTTTCATGCAATGTTTGAAATTAACAGTAAAAGAATAATAGTTTATATAATTATTAGTGCTGTCAAACAATAACATTTTCAGCTCACAGCTGATCAGCTCACTGGGTTGATGTGGAGTCATTTCAATTAATCACAAATAAATATTATTCATTTTTTAATCTATATTAATCACAATTCATTTTGCATGAGCAAAAAGACTCAAGAAAAAAGTGGATATATATGCACTTAATGTGTTTATTGAACATCTTGAACATTCATGTTAACAAAAACCTCTTTTTAAACATTTTAAACACATTAATGTAGCCCTGTTACTCCTCTTTCAGCCAGTTACTACGACAAACGAACTTGCTGACATTGTCCGAGAGGAGAGCTGACCGCTCCTTATTTACAATGTTGCCTGGAGCTGAGAACAGTCTCTCACATGGAACAGTGGTTGCAGGAGTGGCCAGATATGAGCAAGCCAGCAATGCCAGCTTGTCATGAGATCCTGAATGAGCTGACCACCACTTCAAGGGACAGTCACAACCTCTCTCTGTCACTCTTGGGGAGGCAAGAGTGAAATGAGTAGTGATGTGTCAGTTGCGAACGAAACGGCTCTTAGAGCTGGATCTTTGACATGAATGACGCGAGCCGGCTCCTTATTGGGAGCCGTGTTTCTATTTTTTCTTTTTCTCACTCTCTCTCTATCTTTCACTTTTTTTTCGCTTCACACAGGAATGCGAGCCTTGGTGTTTGCACTGAGCAGAGGGGGGAGGGGCGGTAGTTACACTCGAAGCAGCAGTAACACACAAACAGCGCAGGAGGAAGAGAGAGAAAGAGAGCCAGGGGCAACAACAAGAGACAACATCAACACATTAGAAAGGTACGACACATTATAATCACATCAAGAAAAGAAGCAAAAATCTGGAACCATTTCAATTTTATTGACAATATAAAGGCAGAGTGTAGATATCATATAGAGCCGGCTCCACAAACAACCTGCACAAGCAGCTGAGAACTGTCCACCAATCAATGGGAAGATAAAACACAGTTGAGTGTGATAATAATGAAGGTGCCAGTGCGTCTACTGCAACTGTTGCTGCTGCTGCATCCACAGCATCATGCACTATACCACCACAAGCACCTAAACCAACCCAGAGCTCTATGAGAGAGCTTGTAAATAACTCATGAAAGAATAAAGTTGCGTTGAAACCAAGCACACCATTGTTTTTCTTGTGACATTACCAATAAGTTTGATGTGTCACAGGACTTTAATATCACCAACCATTCCCATTTTATTACGCTGTATCCATATAAATGACCCACCCTGTAAATCATAAGTTGTCATTTAAAACTCACATTCATGTGTCTAAGTTGAAACTAAAACTAAGTTACTTTTTTTTTTGCAATTGATCCTATTTCTCCCTCCAAGTGAGAAAACACTTGATTTATGTAACTTTTTTTTTTCTTTTTACCTTTCTTGGAACACAGTGACCTGCTTTTTATGAATGCAACCTACAGAGGTTGGATAGTGTCTACCATTGTTTATGTTTATGTTTTATTACTGGCTATGGTAATCGTGTACATCATTGTTCTTTGTATGCTGCTGCTAAACTTCCAGCTTTGTATATTTGCAGACTTTCCTATTGGTTGGTCTTTATCTATAAATCTCTGCTTGGGCTGGTTCCCTCTTATTAATGTGTTTATATGTGTAAAAACACAACCAATACAGCCTTC